GTATAAAACGATAAGGGAAAACATGCAGCAATCTTAGATCATGAACCAGAAGGTGCACACGCATGGAGAAACGAAATACAACATTAAGTAAATGAAAAAACAAAACAATTCTTTTCGCAAAACGTATTTACATTTCATTCCCATACAGCAGAGTGACTCACCGTTGCATGATGGGATTAATGTTCTATGAACCAATGTGATCCTTTGATAGTAGAGCCGTTATCAGTCGTGATTTAAATATTGGTTTTGATTGGATTTGAACGCAGGACCATGGTTTTAGAAAGCAGAGCATGTTTAAACACCAAGCTACATCGCCACTGTATGCCCTTAAGACCAGGCACTTGCCTGAATAATTACGGTATTCAAATGTGGTTTTGATGGTTTGGATAAATCTCAATGGAAACAGTACGTTTCCTTAAAATGTAAATAGAAAGTATGCAGCATTTCCTTTATATCCAGGCCTTTGCATGAGAAATTTAGCTCAGCGGTTGCTGTTCTGCTTCCAAGTCTTCAGGTCGGACTCTTTCGATGCCATGGCTGTGCAGTCCACTTAGGTCCTTGTGCACTTAACCTACGGCTGCCCTCTCCACCAATGAATCAAGTGGGTAGGTTCAAGCACAAAATGTGCTGATTACAGCTCCAACATTGGAACTGACTATGTGCTTCATATGTGTTTGATCCAATGGTTGAGGTAATAATATGAGAAGCGCTTTGAGTGAAGTCTATTTAGAAGTTCAACATATTAACATAATTGTTATTGATGACATATTTAATTCCAGCATCTCTTCATTTATATTCCACGAAAATATACCGTGCGATATACAATATTATTATTTGCACAGAAACTCGTTTTACACTTTGAATGCTTAATACTTATATTAAAAGATTTACTAGGCTATACACATAGTACAAATAAACATGACTCCTCGGAGTCGGGATGACGTCATCAGGTTTAATGGAATAGTCTGTGAGAAATCTCCATCGGCGGAAGCTAAATACTTTTCAAACTTGACAGTGACATCCAGTATTACACCTACAGCCGTCAAGTTCGGCAGACACATCTAAACGCCTTGAATCGTAGTAGGCCTAGCTGTCATTGCTTGTTCGTCAAAATGCTGGGGAATATGCATAAGAATGTAGGGCTGTCGATGCTTTTTGTACAGGTAGGCCTAAATTATAATATGTTTTGTTTAGGCCTACTAGTTTCGATTAGGTTAAAAAAAAAATTTCTGTCAGTCGCAGCCACTAATTTCCTCAATCGAGGGGCGAGTATTTGTTTTTGTTTTAATTGATGTTAAATTTATAGATATCTTTTTATGTAATTTTATTTTGTTGAGATAATCTTCTTCGTTCATTTTTTAGCTCCTGCATGCAAATTTTTAGTCCTACTAGGTCTATACTAAGTTCATTTTGTATTATTTAATATCATTAAATGCTTATCTTTGTAGTATTAAATTAATTAAACATTACAACATATTTTATTGCCGAACTTGATAACTTAGTGTTATTTTTAAATGAGCACTCACTGTTTATGATCACATGATGGGGACATACGTTCTTCTCAAATATTTACTATTTAGGATGAATATGTGAAGGATTTTCTAGACTTTATCACACCAATACCGAATTTAACCGGGATGCCTGACTTTAAGTCTCATTGTTTGGAGGAATCGAATTAAACCAATTTTACTAACTCGACAATTTATAAATAGTAGATTTACAGACATTCAAAATGAAACTATTTCTGCCCAGGGGCGTATTAATATTTAACCACTGGGAAATATATTTCATTACTACATATTGCTTTTAAGAGGGCTGTTGAATAGCTTTGATAGTTTGTGTTTCTAAGAAAGACCGACATGATAATAGGAGCATTCCATATAATTAAGCTAAAATTAAATGTTTTGAAAAGAACCAAATGTTATTGTATATATCATACTGTATGATAGCAGGTCCGTAATATTTGATTCAAACTAACCATTAGGCCTATAGACCTATTCCGGTGTTGAAAGAGACGGGAAGAGACGCGCAGATGGATGTCCCTTCCTCAAAAAAGCAAATAATAGAGATAGACTGAAACGTATACAGTTAGGCCTAACGTATGAAAAACTTCTGAAAAATAAAACGAATTTAGGAACAGGAAGGCCTAATCTGTCAAGTAAAGTTGAGTTGAATAGCTTGGTGGTTTAGATACGGTACTCGCCGTGCAATTTTATGGTCCTGGGTTCAATTCCTGTGACAACAGAATTTTCCCTGACGACAATGAGTCTCAATGTTTAAAGGAGCTGGGTCCTGTGGGGAACAGTAGGTTTCTACTAAACAGGTTACCCAGTATACGAAAAAAAAAATCAAACCGGTAAATTTGTAAAAGATGTAGGCCTACAGAAACTATAGTATTTGGTATAACCATGTCTACACTTAGGGAAACGTTTCAAATTGGATTTCCCATTTTCTTTCTTAAGCCTAATGAAGTGTGCGCATGCACAACCCAACAGCAGGTCAGTAATTTCTGTTCAAACTTTACTTGAGAGTTCACAAGTTATTCAAAATACCTATTCAAGTATACTGTACACTTACGTGTGCGTACTTTTAAATG